CAGACTGCTCCATCTTCCTCCCATAGAGCGGCTGGTGGGTTTGAGCCATTTATCTCTTGGTTAGCAGACAAATGCCTTAACTGCTATACCATAAAGATTGATAGTAGAGGATAAATTATATCTGGATGACATTACTTCACTGCATGAGGAGAGCTGTGCATCTAATTCCAATAGAGGATTATGAGCAGTGTTTGCTTGTGGAAGCTGTTACAGACTAGCCAAGCCACAAGAACATTAGCACTAAACCAGTTGCCATACAGGTAGAGTAGTGGCTTGCCTAAACATAGGTTATGAAATAACAGGCCACTTCTTTCATCCTGTGGCTCAGAAGATCCATAATCTCAAACCCTATATGAAGTTGGACCCATGGCATAGAGCTGAATTTGAAGAAACACATCTTTTAGAAAATAGACATGGACCTGTGAAATGCAATTGAATATTTTTCCATATGCATAAATATTTTCTTCTTTCAAGTTTACTTCAACTACACATTTTGTTTCAAGAGTGACTCAGTGATTCATGCTGACATGGCTGTCAGTGGCCTCAATAATCAAAGATATTTAAATAAGAATTTAAAAAGATCTTATTTTCATTTTAAAATAAACTTGATGGGAATTAAACAGCTATTTCCCCCCCTCCTCCTTTCCTTAATTCTGAGGAGGAGGGAATAACAGGGACAAGAAGATGTACACTTTGACCTATTGATTCTCCCAATTATCCTTTGTCTCAGACATTTTGCTTTGGATCTTTCAATCACCTGCACACCCGTAACTAAGATGTCATTTTTCACTGAATTCTATTTTGTTATTTTTGTCAAAAGATAAGTTCGAACTCTTGAGTCTGAGAAAATTGATCTTGTTGCTAATGGGATACAGTCGAAATAAGCAGTTTGACTGACTTCTTCACTCCCTTATATTAGCATTGCTACTTTTAGATAAACTATTCCTGAAATGATTAGTGTAGGAGGATGGGTTTAGTCTTGTATCTTCTCCTTTAAAGCACTCAGAGTGAGAGATCCCAGAAGGATCAGTTTCTCACTTGTACTGAAAATGTCACTCTAACAGTTATCTGTCTGCAGAGTCAAGTTTTGAGAAATCTTTTGAATTTACCGCATTCACACCATTCTCCATCATGGTGCTAAAAATGACTAATGCAGCCTGGAGACTGTGATAGCTGATCATCTTTTCCAATCCTACACTGACACACACACACACACGCACATGCTTAGCTGACACTGTGCATCTTTAAGGTTTAAAATATCATATATGCTAAATGGAATGCTGAGACTTGGGGGCAGGATGGCTAAACATATACTTAGATTATTGACTTCATTATGCTTGATTCTTCAAACAATTGGTCTTGTTTGATTGAACTTGTTTTTAACCAAATGGCCCATTGTAATGTTTGACTTAATTTTCTATTTAAAAACAATCTATGGCATTCAAACATTCAAACAACTTATTTAATGTTATCAGCTCATCATCTGTAAGAAAAGTGAAGTGTAACATTGACTTTTTTAAAATAGGAGGAAACATCATTAAAGAGATGGTGACCTACCCAAAGTCCTGCATATAGTCAAAGTCACTCTCTTTTAGTGGCCATAATTAATCAGTATAAGCCAGTGTAAAGTCACTACAACCAAAACATCTAAATCAATCTTATTACCTTTTTTGAAGAATACTATTCTGATGGTTCAAGGGGTTGTCAGACATATCTTACTCCCAGAAAGGCATATAACAAAGTCTCCTATGATGTCATTTAGGGCATGATGGAGAATTGTGTGGGCTAAATGATAGTAATTAGGTGAATTGGTAGCTGATTACATCCAAAAATGTATGATTAATCGATTGTCATTAACTTCTAAGTTTCCTCCAAGCTCTATTTTTGGCCTGTCCAATTTCACAATTTCATCAATTACCTGGGAGAAGTCTACCAAATTCACAGATGACACAGTTAGTAAAGAAGTAAAGATTAGTATTCACTGGATGACAGAATCAAATTTCAAAAATATCTGTTATTTAAGATGATGGGTTGATCTTTATTAAGGATAAAGGTAAAGTTTTACATTGAATTAGAAAAAAAAATTGTGATGAGTGGAACTGAACTGAAGGGAAATGCTTAAAAAAAAAAAAATCCTCTAGGTTTTAATTGACCATAAACACAATGCAACCACTAGTAAAATCTATACTTTCTTTGCTGGCATTCAGAGCAAGAATGTCCAGGTTGATAAAACTCATATATCTATATTGGTTGCACCTGCTTTGAGTGTTGTTTTTAGTTGTGGAAACCATGATTTAAGAAAGATACTGAAAAGTTTGTTGTTACTTTAATGGATGACAGCTCTCAATAGCAAAAAATCAGGGAATATGAAAAAACTGAGGATGATTTGTTTATAAAATAGAAGGAGCTCCTGAGAGCTATTTTTATTTAACATTTACTAAATGTTGCTTGTATTTAATTCTCAGAATGACATGATAAGGTAGTTATTGTCAATACTGATATGGAAACTGAGGACACACACAGGTAGATTATCTGGATTCAAATCCAGGTGGTCTGACTCCAGAGCCCAATCTCATAACAGTTGTACCACATTATTTCTCCAAATATTCATCAAAAATTGAAGAGCTGGTATGACCTCCAAGGCAACATCCAAATGTAAGATTATAACTTACTGGCCTATGATTTGATATAACACAGTAATATTATCAACACACACAAACAAACAAAACAACCAAAAAACTTTCTTTGAAGAATTAAGTTAATTAAAGGTAATTTACATAGTGTTCCTTCAGACACAAGTTTAGAGAGTGCTCACCCCACATCCCATCTCACTAAGATGGCCTTGCTGTGTGTCCTTAGTAACCTTCCTTTTATGGGCAGTGAACTCTGCCAAAATTATATAATTTTTTTGTTTATCTCTCTTTGTACTGTATATAGAATATTATTAATATTATATTACATGAAGACCCCAATTAAGGGAAGTTGTGTTACAGAAGTAACACATGTCATTAAAAAGTTTTTCAGTAGGGAACTCCTGAAAGTTCCTTGGCATACTGAGTTCAGTGTTGGTATTGGCTTCATTGTTGGTATTGATTCAGTGTTGCTATTGGTATTATCTTCAGCTCTCTGACAGATATTAATTGCAATGACTGGAGCACTTCACTTTCTTTTATGCCTTAATTGTTGCATATTTAGAATGTGAGTAATGCTACTACCACTTTTATAAGATTGTTTTATGAATGTGGTAATGGGTGCAAAAGCTCCTAACATGCTATGCAGATTCTCATTAAATATTTCGATTTGCAATGAAATATATTTGCAAGAGTAGTTCCATAAGCAAGTATATGAAATTTTAGATTTCAGTAAGATAAATTGGTGATGATATTTGACTTTGCAGTTCTTCTAGAATATGTCAAACCTGATCTGATTATAGAAATTTGTTTTTTAGCAACATTTCAGAAATATCTTTATTCAATAATGTGAAGAAAGGAAACGTGTATTCAACACATAAAATGTCCAGGCTCTCTTAAAAAATCCTAATACAAATGCTTTTTCCCTTGTTTATATTACCAGAGAAGTGAGCAATTTGCTTCAATTCACACAGTTAGTTATGACAGTTTTGATTTGAGCTTTTTAAGAAATGGAACCATACTTTTACCTGGCTTTCTCAAATAACTAAAAAAAGGGGAGAGTCTGATTTTGTCAAGTACCAATTGAGCTATGCTGTATCAAAATCCACTGCCATCAAGTCAATTCCGACTCATATCTATGTAAGATTCTAACTTACTGGCCTATGATTTGATATAACACAGTAGTATTGTCAACAGTACTATGAGTTTCCAAAGCTATAAATCTTTATGGAAGCAGCCTGCCTCACCTTTCTCCCACAGAGCAGCCGGTGGGTTCAAACCACCAAACTCTTTGGTTAGGAGCCCAATGCCTTAACCACTGTGTTGCCAGAGTTCCTTTATACCAAATCAGGTACTGAATTTGTTACTCTTAATTTTATTACTGTGTTGTAACTCTGAAAGTTTTATGAGGGTTTGAAGGTGTTTTTCTTGCTTCCCTAGGAATCCTGGGTGCCTGATAATGGTTCCTGACAAAGAGTAGGTCTCCAGTAGTTTTTGAATGTTGACCTAGTGTTAAAAGAAGTTTCTTATTCATAGAAGTTAATTTTTCCTGGTTTGAAATTGAGTAAATTCAATTTTTTGTTGTTGTTATTGTTATAAGAAAACACAAATCAGTTCTTTTGTTACATTAAATGTAGAAATGTGTATGTATTTGAAGGCAGGGAAGAATAAGCTTGTGTTATTTTCCTCAAACAAAAACAAATTAAAATAAAATTTAAGCTATATTAACATATTACAACAAATAAAGAAAAAATCCCATGGATTTTAAATACACTAAAGACAGCTAATCATCTTTGCCATCCTGTCCAATATTCCACCAGCACATGTAACCAGAAAGTAATACTTTTTATATTTGCATCTGAAATTTTTGGTTTCTGAGATCATTTGTTATTCAACTCACACTTTTTCTTTTACTGCATAGACATGATTCTTGGTAAATCATGGGGAAAAAAGATCATTCAGATACCCTGTCCCCTATTTATTTCAGTAAGAGTTGACCTTTTGTGAGGATTCTCTATGTCAGTTATGAGAGATTATTGAATATGACCTCATTGAAAGACTTAATAAGAATATAATGACCAGTTTGTTTTAAAATACTCTAAAGAAAGACAGCAGACAGTGTCTCATGAGAAGTGACATTCTGTAATTACCTCCTCCTATCAAAAGAAAAACAATTCCCAGAAATTAATGAATACAGCAAGAGTCTATTTCCTATCTTAATTCTATCTTAATTGCAAAAAGTGGATCAATTAAAAAAAAACACACACACACACACAACTATACTGGCAAAGTCCCTCTCTTAAGGTTTTGTCTCCCAATTCCTTAGCCATCAAGTCAACATATATAAGCATACCATAAACTTATTTTTACCTTCTGAGATGAGATACACTAACTCCACCAGCAGCGCTCCCATGAAACAACCAAATCCGTTGAATAGGGATGAAAAATTCATAGAAGTTCCTCTGGCACTACTTGGAACAAATCTGTATGATAGTACTGATACTGAGAGAGAAAAAGATCAGAATTTAGAATGTTCTCTCTAAACACTTTCACATATACTGTCCAAATAAGGTGTTGGTCATACTTTAAATGAAGTTTACTAGTAAAGTCAACATGTTGGACTTTATTAAGGTTACTATAATAATAAGACATATTACAAAATTATAATTTATGGGTATCCATAAGGAAGAAAACATGGCAAAATACATCTTTGTATAGCTTTTAAAAGAATTTGATTACTTGCTTGAGTGTCTCAATATATTCACCCAAATTTCATACCTGTTTGGTAATTGGAGTATTTCTGATGAATTTTGGATTGAGGTGAGACCTGTACTAGATAATATCATGATAATCTATTAATGTGATCTACAATTCTTTGGTTCTATGGTATACCATAAGGTTCTTTAGGGAAAACTTAAAATTATCATATAAAATTAGCATAGGCTCTGGAGTTCCATAAGATTGTGCCAAAATCCTAGTCCAACTGTTTACTCCCTCTGTGACTTTAGGTAAATTACTTAAACTCTCTCTAAGCCTCAATGCCCTCTTCTATAAAATAGGAATAATACCATTACTCCCTTTGCTGAGGTGCCATGAGGCTTACTTGCTGTAATGTACTTAAAATGCTTAGCACAATGCTTGACTTCTAGGGATTGAATAAGGTTAGTTTTTCTCAATAATTTTAATTTCACAAAATCAAATAGCCCCTACTTTTTTGCAAGGCTCTATGCTATGCCATTTAAATGCATTGCCCTGTTTAAGGAGACAGCACCTAGAAAGAGATGGTAATGTAAGCATTGGCTCTCCAAGATGGTTGTCTTCTTCCAAGTTTTCTTGGAGTAATAGTAATAATGGCAATAGTTTGGAAGAAAATGGTGGGGGAAAATTTAAAAAAAAATTTTGAGAATATATATTTTGAAATCAGAAATGATAATGAAAATAAGTTCATCCGAGTAGTTGAACCTGTGGGCTTGGGACCATAGTTGCAGAGGACACCAAGCTCAATTGACATAACATACTACACAAAACATTGTTCCACCTCCTACTGTGGTGAGTAGCAACTGGGATCTTAAAAGCTTGCAAGCTGCCATCTAGATGCAATGATGGGTCTCTCCTCGTCTAGAGCAAAGAAGAATGAAGAAAACCAAAAATTCATGGAAACAATTATTCCTAGCGACTGGTATACCATCCAATCTGCAGCCTATATGATTATGAGACCAGAGGAACTAGATGGTGCCCGACTACTACTGTCAACCACTTGGAAGAGGATCTATGTAGGAGATCCTGGAAAGACAGGGAGAACAATGTGGAACAAAACTCAAAATCATTTGGAAAAAAAATTAAAAAAAAGGGGGACCAGGTTTGCTGGCCCAATAGAGCCTGGTGGAACCACTGTGACTATGGCCCCTAGATGCCCTTCACGTCTGGAATTGAATGCATGCCTGTGGCTTCCAGCCAAACAATAGACAGGCATATGAGTTGAACATTTACCTGAGGTAGATACACTCCTTGGAGAGAACAAGCATGGGAGAAAAAAGGGTTGCTTATGCACAGGGAGACAGCTCAGGGGGCAGGAGTGCACGGGGGATGGACACAGGGAAGAGGTAACTATCGGGAGGAAGTAGGAGGGGAGATGTTGCATTGTGGTAAATTGTGGTCAATGTCATGAGACAAAGTGTATATGAACTGCTGTATGGAAAGTGTATTTGCTCTGTAAATTTTCACCCAAATCACGATAAAAAGAAAAAAAAATATAAAACAACAAACAACTATGTACTACAATAGCAAAAAAGAAAAGAAAAGAAGTCTGTATGGTTTAGTATGCACCACGTTGTCATACCAATATTAAAATTTGCATGGTGATCTTAAGAATCCAAACCCACTGCCAGCAAGTTGATTCAGACTCATAGATACTGCTAAAGAGGCATGGAGGTATTATCTTCTGACCTCCTTTGACTACACAAGAGGAAGACAGAATCAACATCAGCAGCCCAAGGCCTGTTCTTATGGGGCCAGACATGCTGTCTCCCTCCAGCCCTTTTGTCAACCCTGACACCAACTGTCCCTCCCATAGCACTCACTACCTCTCTGCTGGGCTAGAAAATTCTTTGCAGTGGCCACGCAGAACTCACAGACACCACTCACAGATTATGGGGTTTATTAGGGAAGCAACAAGCTACAATTCAAGTTCAGGAACACACTCAGTCTCTCTCAGTCAGCCATCTCTCAGCCGACCATCTCTCTCAATCTCTCAGTAGCATATCTCTCTCTGAGCAGTGTATGCCTCTTGCGTCTCTCTCATCAGTGTATCTCTCTCATGTCTCTCGGCACTGCATTTCTCTCAGCAGCATGTCTTTCTCAGCCAGCAGTCAGAAAGACTCCTCTTGCCTCTGGGAGGCCTCCTTTTGGGCCTGGCAGAGTTGCCAAACTAACCAATCCCAACATCAGAATTCTATACACGTGAGAGAGAGTGAACTTCCCAGAAGATTGCTTTGTGTTCATCCAGGTAGATGACTTTAACAAGCAGCTACTCAGTTACTCATGGCAAAGTAGGAGTGACAAAAACTATGGCTAGAAAAGCCACATCATGTAATTTACTACACCACAGATGCTAAGATATTTATCATGTTTATTATAATAGCTGACAATTGCTTCATAATTATACAGTAATGACAAAGGGAGGTATATGAATGAGAGTAGAGATGAAAAAGTTTATGAGTTGAAAATTGTTGAAACTGGAGTTCCAGCAAGATGACGGACTAGGCAGAAGGACTGCACAGACCCTCTTCAACAAAGAAAAGGGAAACCAATTAACACAGACACAGAAGATAAT